TAGACTTGGCCACCTCTACCAAGTCAGGCTCCTAAGGGCCGGCTACATCAAGCATAAACAAACAGATTAGACCTAGTAAATAAGGGAGCAAGTCTAAAATTTACAAGGACAATTTCATACTTCTAGGTGTCCCAGCTGGAGTTTTAGAAGGAGTGGCCGGCTGTTTCTCAGCCGCCGCATGTTTCCTGGCAGAACCAGGAGAGCTCGCAACAGTCGTCCTCCGGGCCTTGGAGTCCGGCTGTTGGGAAGAAGAAGCTCTTGGAGCGCCCGTCTAAAAAAGAAGAAAAGAGTCAGTATATGCATAAACACAACTCCAAAAAGAGAGTGAAAGGTTCGAAGCCCACCAAGGGTGCCCCTTGTTGGGGGAGTCGGTTGAAGACTGTTGCATGATGGAGGCCCGCAACATGGCCGCCGCAGTCTTGGAGGCGGTAATTTTGCTCATGGCGTCCATTGCAAAAACAAATAGCAAAGTTAATAAAAGTCATAACTAGAAATGCACGGAACAACAGAGTATTCGACAGGCCGGCTACCTCTTGAGCACCGGCTGCTGAGGCCACAGGCGGCCAAAAAGTACTCGTCGTAGAGCCATTTGAAGCTCGGGACGCAGTGCAGGGGTACTTGCTCTCGTACCCCTGAAGTAGAGTTCACCTTCGACTCTACTTTGAAGAGTCCTTTATCTAGGATCTCTTTCTTAGCCTTGGGGGGAACAGGCGGCATGCTGCGGCCGCCTGCGAGAAGGGGCGGATTCCTGTTCCACCTGTTGAAGCGCTTGTTCAGCTCTGTGTCTGAACTCTCAATGATAAGGAAGGTGCTCCGCCAGTCCTTCCATTTGTTTGTTTTACCTCTTGTTATGAGGTAGCCCCTATGGCTCGTCAATTGATACCAGCCGGTACCGCCTGCCTTAGGGGTCCGGCTGAGGTAGTTCATGTGGGCGAAAGCCTCGAAGTTCGGCTCCACCCCGTGCAGTTCGCACCCGGCCACATAGCCGAGTACGTTAACCCAGGAGTTCGGGGCTAACTGCCATTATCCCAACTCATACCCATCCAAGATCCGCTGAACAGCCGGATGTAGTGGGAAGCGCAGCCCAGCCTTGATGGCCGCCTCGTAACAGCCAAAGCAGGCGCCATCATAACTAGTACCAGCCGGCCAGACAACTGTGTCTTCTGGATCCGGCACGAACACTAAAAAGTCGGGGCCCATTGTGTGGTTTGCGATAAAGCTCCCCAGTTTCTTTTGCATGGCCGTGATCCGGCCCCGAGGTACCGTGCAGTAGTAGGGGGTATTTTGCTCTCGGTGAGAGGCGGATGGCTCCGCCCAATCGTCCCCCTTCTCAACTGCGTGAGAAAGCCTCGCCTTTTGTAGGCGACTGTTTTTCTCTTCTGTGTCCAGAGAAGCATGGCCAGAAGAGCTAGACTCGGATTCGTCCTCTGACGAGTCCGAAGAGGACGACTCTTCCCCTCTCTCAGAGGGGCCCGCCTCCTCTCCTTTAAAAGGAGCAGGAGAGAATGTAGAATTGTCAACTGTAAAATGGGAAGGGGTCACTTTGACTCCTCCCTCAGAACTGCCGGCTTTCAAGCCGCTTTGTTTCACTTCCACATCTGGCGCCTGGTCAGATGTTTCACTAATCGGCACCCTGTGGGAGGAGCCGTCTGAGTTTGAGATCCTGGCAGTCTTTTTTGTTTTGGCCATCATGTTCTGCATAGACACAGATACAGTCGGACTTTGTATAAAGGGCAAAGATGGGTCCAGAAAAGGGCAGGCGGCACTCCTAGTCCTAGATTCAGCCGTCCCCGGTGACCGGCTGATCACTAACCTAGGTCGTGTCGTGTGCTTCCGTGGTGCCATTTCAAAAAAGAATAAAGTAAAGAGAAAATTAAGAGTAAGAGAACCGACGGTTACCTGAACGAGTGACGATTGATGAAGTTCTGAAAATCCTTTGCAGTCAGCTTGTCAGAGCAGACGGTAGGCAGAAAGGGTCCAAAATGTCAGAGCAAGTTCAAGGGTCCGAATGTTCTCTCACAAAGTTCTCAAGTGTGAAAATGACCAAAGACAACACTCCCTTATATAGGCGAAGTGAGAAGGCGAAGGGTCACTTCCGGAATTCAAAATTTGGGCGGGAGAATCTCTCGGCCTTTCGCCGAGTGACACCTGTAGAAGGCCGTCGCCTGTTACAGGGCGACACCTGTCACAGGTAACACGTGACCAGTCACGTGTCACCTGTGAGGGGAAAATGGTCAGGGGATTTTGCTCCCACCAATCGGAATGCGCCACGTGGGCCAATCAGATCCTGCCAAGTGCCCCCCAGTTGGACCTCTCAGGGTTTGCCACGTGGCACACTCTTATTCGTCCACCCTGGACCTATTATGTCATGACACATGGCATACTCCATGCCTAATGGAGAAGTCGGCCACCTAGGCCCAACTTCCGAGGGAAGCCCAATCAGCCTAAGGTTAACCTAAACCTAGGATTGGCACGTTTCCCGAGGTTATAAATACCTCCCTTAATCCTCATTAAGGGGGAGGACGCGGATTACAGACATTAAACACTCTCACCTAGAGAGACCCAATCACTTTAATTTCCGCGTTAATTACTCCTTAATCAAGTACTAACTTGACCGTCGAAGGCGGATCTCCAATCATCCGGAGCATCCATTTGTTTTGCAGGTACAGGCGTCCGGTTCCAGTCTCGGAATTGTAACTCTCCCGCAGGATATCAGAAAACCCCGAAACAGTATGGTACAGGAGCATTACCCGACGCTTCATCAACCCTAACTACACCCCACCCTCAACGCATTACCACCCAGCTTTTGGAGACATCAGTGGATATGTGAGTTTTTTGTCATTTTTTCTTTTCCTCCAATTTATAGTTTCTTTAATTATTAAAATGACTGATTGTTGACTAATGCAGGCGTCTGATATGCTTGCTATACATGATGCACTAGAAGTCTTGAGCATATCATATCCCACCATACCGCAGTTGGATGACATTCACGCAATGACTGTGAGTAGCTTACAGAGACATGGTCATGGCCATCTTATCCCCCAGGGCCGGGACCAATCACACTGCCGTTCACACCGTGAGGTAGGCAGCAGTAGTAGGGGACAGACTCACACGTCCCCTACAGGGTCCCCCCTGTTTTTTGATGATCAGGAAGATATCGCCATCCACATGTTTGCGCCATACTCATCTTAGGAAGGACCATCTTCCAGCCAACAGACTCCTCCCCAGACCTCTGCCCCAGATCCTTTCACAACGGTATCTCAGTACTACCGTCGTAGAAGACCGCGATTGGATAGACAACACTTACATATAATAGATGAATCGGGATCTTAGAACTTCTTTTGTTAGTTGTAATCAGATTTTATAGTACATTGTATCCAAATAAATATTATCAATTTTACTAACCTTTTTAGTTCATTTTCTGTACATTATCAACTTCACCATACGCATTCATTCTTTTCATTGTATTGGTTGCTGATGTTGTTGTTGTTGCTGGTGTTGTTAATGTTGCTGATGTTGTTGTAGTTATTGTTGTGGTTCCTGTTGTTAAGGTTGTAGTAGTTGTTGTGATTGTTGTTGATGCTCTTGTTGGGGTTGTCGCTGTTGCTGTTGTTGGGGTTGTTGTGGTTGTTGTTGCTGTTGTTGTTGCAGCTCCTGTGGTTGTTGCTGTTGTTGTTGCAGCTCCTGTGGTTGTTGCTGCTGTTGCTGTGTAGCTGTGTTTGTGTGCAGAGATAAAACGCCAACCATGGTGGCGCTTTAGGGGGGTAAATTATTTTCAAAAAAATAACTCAGGGTAAAACGCCAACGGCGTTAGCGTTTTTGTGTAAATGTGTTTTTTTAAAAAAATTTGCCCAGCAGTAAAACGCCACCCTTGATGGCGTTTTATCCTTGACTAAAAATTAAAAAAAAAAATGCCCAGGGTAAAACGCCATACTGGTTGGCGTTTTACTTGGAAGCTTAGTTTGGTAAATAGTTTTGCCACGCGTCTTGTTTGGGAAATTGTTTCCCAAAAACGCTTAGTTTGGCAATTTTTCCCTCGAGTTTATTTAACTAAACTTGGGTTTAATTCAGTCATGCTGTATTGCTGTTGTATCTAATCTGATTTTAAGTGACTTTACTAATTTAGGTGACATCTACTGTACTTCTACTGCCTATGCTTTGAGTCTTTGACCATCATTTATACGAGTGATATGGAGTAATAAACTTCATTCGTGTTTAAATAAGTAAAACTATTCTCTTATGCACGTATGCCAATGTAAAACTTTAACATAATATCTTTAATTCTTAATAAGTAAAATTTACGACAATTAAATATTAATAAACTTTAATGATAAGAGCAACTCTAATGATTGTAGCTATGAGCTTACTTGTAATTTTCAAAAGTCTCTAACTAATAGATTTACCATTCTTAAAAATTAAATTAGAATAGGCAAGCTAATTTACTTGGGAAAAAGTTTCCAAAATATGGAAGATTGATATATTAATACAATGAAATTTTAAAAGCTAATTAAGAAAGCCAAAACTCATTTAAACAGCAAGCTAATAGCTATCATTAGATTATAAACTAGCTTACAAAAAGGGTTAACTGGACATTTTACGTGGCATATCAAACAAACTTGACAATTAGCTTACCATGGAAATGCTCTAAACTACTTTAATTTTAAGCTTAAATTGCTACGCAATTTCTTCTAGCTATAATTTTCCTAGCAATTTTTTGCTCTAGTGGTGGTAAGGTAGTTGTCATTTGAATTTATTTTTTTCAGCTTTATTATTTAATTCAATTAACTTTTTATAAGAAACAATTATTTCTAAGTAATTTGCTTAGTTAAACTAATTAATTTGTCTGATCAAGCTAATTAATGAATTATTCTCCAATAAATCGACTATTAGCTTGAAAATTGTAAAATTTAAATTGCAAATAAGCCTGAAAAGCAATCATTGAAGTTGCTTTAATTACGAGTAGCTTTGTATAAAAGCTTATATGCTACTCGTACATATTAATGTCGGATGTCTACACCGCCATTTGCCGTGGTTCATGTGTTGTTGTGACTTGTAAGCAGGAGACACAATACAATGTTATCTTTGATGTGAGTCCTTACCTATAAGAGTCAATATATAAGAGTTTCAAATCAAGTATAAACTGTTAATAAAGTCCATAGATCTTGGTTAGCCAAGCCCATAAAATACGCACAAAGACAAAGAAGTAATTGGCCCAAAAGTCTTCTTCAACTTGGCAGAATGGAAGCCCATAAAAAAAAAAAAAAAAAGACAAGAGTTTAATATCAGTTCATAAAGACATCAAAAGACAACAAATTCGGATTCCTGTTAAAGACAGGAAAATGTAAAAGCAAAAGAAAAAGGAGAAACAAGAAATACGCAGAAGCACGTTGGTTTGACCACCGACTAGTACACATAGTGGCTTTGAATTCGTCAAAGACGAGGAATTTCTTACAACTTCAAATGCACGGTTAATTATGTTGTGTGATGTGAGTGTTTACAAATTCTTAAATGGATAGGGTTTATACTAATTTATTGTAAATTATTAATAATACGTAGTAGATAAATTATGATTTATAAAAAAGGATCAATGTATTAAAATAAAAGGTTTTTATGTTGAAATAAAAGTTATTTTGTGTTGACCTTTATGGTTTTGATGAACAAACTGACAAATTCGACTAATATATGTTTTAAGTCTTTGGTAAATGAAAGGTTCATGCAACAAGGATCGTTTCGGAGTAGGAACACAAATTCAGGAATGCGGAGTAGCATTCACACAAGTACAACGTACAAAATCACATTCTAGATTATTTGTAAGTGCTTAGAATATAAGTTGGTTTGAAACTTAGTGAGGCACGTTATTATTAAGGTTAAAATTAATAACGTTCAATTGGAATATTAAACTGGTTTTGAAGGAATATGATAAATAATGTTTTAATAAGGTAGTTTAAATAATAAAAAGGATATTTTATTGTTCTATAAATAAATTAATCAAATTTATTTATTATCTTTTTAACAGAAAAATATCTTTTTATATTATTGTTTTATAAATTAATTAATCAAATAATTTATTAGAATATCTTTTTAAACAAAATATCTTTTTGAATAAGTCAAACTAACCGTTTTTATCATTAACCTTCATTCGGTTTATCATGGCTAAATTTTAGGATATTGTTGAGGTTGTTGTGGATTGGTGAGCAAGCAAAGGAAGACACCCATGTCCTCCACTTGTCACTTACTCTCCACTACTTGGAGTCATGTGTACGTGGGAGTTATGGGAGGTGTCTAGTGACTTTGCTTCCACTATATAAACTCATGCAAATATGCAATCGATCTCAGCAATGCAGAATTCTTGAGCAAATATATTCCAGTGAATAATTTAGTTAATAGCGTGAATAGAGTTCCAAAATACTTCTTATATTCTCGAGTACATTAGGTCTTGTATTACTTATTGTAATTGGGATCTAAGGGTATTTGTGAGAGTTGTAATTTGTGAGGTAAAGGAAGTTTCAGAGTCGAAACTTTTGAGAGAGTTGGGAACAAGTTCCGTTCTTGTGGAACTTCGTTCGAGTAGATTATTCACTTTGTGAAAGAATTTGATTTACATAGTGGAAATTTCGAAAAGCCCATATCATTTCTCTCTATTGTTTTACATAATTTAAATTCCACAAAAAGTCTACTTTACCTATACTACAATTCAACCCCCCCCCCCTCTTGTAGCAGCTATCTAGAACTTCATTTTGGTATTATAACATCTATAAGAGGTTAGTTTTTTTTTTTAATGAAATTTTTTATATACCGATCAATTTGAATAATAAAGGTCACTATTTTAAAATTAAGGTCACTACATTCAGCATAACTTCGTACTTCAGGTTACCAATAATATTAAAAGTCACACAAGTTTTAATAAAGACAACATTGTTAAAAATAAGGTTACTACATTAAAATTAGGATGATGATAATGTTTTGCAAGGCTTTGAGTCAGCATTTTGATTCCCCTGTTTATGTGTTTTAATTAATTTTGAGGATTTTAATGTAAAACACTATGTTGAACCATTTGTTTTTTGAATAATTTAATTTTCTGCAAATTATTATCACTCCATTTCTGTTTAATTGTGGTTTAGAATTAAATAATTAGTCCTTCGATTTTTGAGAATATTCAAAATAGGGTATCAAGACAATGTCTTGGATAAAGAAACACCTATTAAGTGAACATTGAATATTTTAAATGAATATTATCTCTGATCAAGGTCATTTAAATGTTGGACGACTAATGACCACTTGAGATTAGTGTGTAGTATGATTTATAGCACCGTTTCTTGTGTTACAAGGACATGACTGTCATAAATCATTTGCACAGGTATTCGTTTGGAACTATACCGGATTAACCTATGAGAATACTTTAAGAGATTTAAAATCGTCATAAGTATATTTCTCATTATAGCTATTGGAACCTATTTCCTCGACCATGAGTATTGTAAGTTCTCTTGTTTTAGTACTAGTCCGTTTTGATGTTGTCAAACGTCTGCCGTACAAAGGCAATATAACGGCAACACTCGGGCGGCTAGGTCCTCTTAGTAAGGGAAGCTAACAATGCAAGACTAGGAATGTCTCCTTATTAACAATAGGGAACATGTCTTTGCTATTTACAATGCCTCACGAAGAGCGAGACTATGAAAATGCATGGTCGTGATCAGATGGATTTTAAATATCATCTGCTTATTGACAGTCAAACTCGGAAATCGAGAAACACTTCTAGATGTAATAAGGATGACGAAGAATCTTATCTTATAAATCATGAAGAGACATTAAGTGACATAAGAAATAGGCTATACACTAATAACGCACTTGTCTGGAAGGACAAGTTGGAGATTGAAAGGAATGGTGTCCTTCGAACAAGTGTATTATTCCGATAGAGGGTTCGAAATTATTAGAAAGTTAATTATTCAGTGAGGTCAAGTGATCGGAACGCCTAGCTAGAGGTCGCTTCCGATCAGTAATATTAATGCATAATTAATATTACAGCTTACTCTTGACTGAACCTTTCGGGTCACACCTAATCGAGTAACCGAACCGAAACGACGAATTAATCCGAAGGATTAAATGAGTCATAAGAGTATTACGAACATAGACGTCGAAATCCGAGCTTAAAGCGTCGGAAACCGAGCGTCGTAAGTCGATTCGAATTTAGGAATCGACGTGACGAGAAATCAAGCAAACAACAAGCCATCGCACAAGAAAATCCTAGCCTCAAAGTGGACTAGCCAATCGAGGGCTAGGAAGGCTAGCATGGCTAGCCAGAGCTATTGCCGCAAGGCAAGGCTCGGCCGCAAGCTCAGCATGCCTAGCATTACCGAGCATGTTGGTCGAGCCAGCCATGCGTGCAAGCCATGGCTTGCAAGGGGCCAGCCGCACATGCTAGGCATGGCAGTAGCCAGCCCGCACCATTGCAAGCAAGGCCAGCAGCACATGCTAGCTGGGCCTTGCACGCGAGTTAGCAGCGTGTTGGGCTGCGCCTAGCACGAGCATCGCAGCAACAGCAGTGGAAGCGGCACGGAATGCGTGCGTAGGCTGTGGAATTCTTGCGTAATAATTGTAACTGGTACAAAGGTTCTTGGGAAGGGAGAGCTATTTTGGTTAAGCTGCGTGAAAGTGTACCTGAGAGTGAAAGCTCTTTTGGGAAGATCCTATTAAGGCTTTCTCGTGAAATTGTGATTGCTACTCAGATGTCAACTCATAATAAGGTCCATAAACTACTAGGATGCTGCCTTGAGACTAAAGTTCCAGTTCTTATTTATGAGTGGGTGGCTGCTGAAACTCTTGAAGATCGTATATTACTCAAAGATGAGAAACAAAACAAACTACCTGTATTAGAGTGGAAAGACAGACTAAGGATTGCATGGGAAATCTCTTGTGCTGTTTCATATTTCCATTCAGCTTTTCCAAGGCCTTTCATCCACGGGTACTTGGAACCTCTTAGTGTTTTTTTGAACCAGGACAATGCTGCCATATTGTCCAACTTCAGTCTTTCTGCTTCTATTCCCGAGGGTCAAAATTTTGTGGTTGATCATTTTGTAGAAGAGACCAGGGGTTATGAGGCACCTGAATATCAAACACGTAGAGAATTCACAGAATATACAGATGTGTATTCATTTGGTGTGCTTTTTCTTGTGCTCTTAACAGGAAAAGATGCTACCTTTTCTTGTATCTGCATTGGAGAAAATGCTAAGTCGACCAACATAATTGACTGGGTAACCTCAAAGATAAGAAATAAGCGCATTAGTGAGATTGTAGATCCTGTAATTAATAATAGTGAAATACCAGCCTCTGAATTGAGTGCATCTATAGATCTTGCACTCAGGTGCACATCATTTCAAGCATACAAAAGGCCAACCATGGAGGATGTTGAAATTGAGCTTTGCAACATGCTCAGATCCTCTAAATCTATCCCTACCACCAGCAGTGTTGTCTGAATGTCCATGCTACAGCCTCAATTACAATTGATTGATAGTGTATTATGCAGATCTGTTTATAACAAGTTTCTTGCGACACATCAATGAAAACATACTTTAAAACAGTAACATCAAAGTACTAGTATTAACCATGAAATGTCTAAGTAATCTCCTTGATTTACCGAGCTCACAAATCAAGTGACATCTTCGGTAATACAGATAAAATATATCAAGTCTTACTCATTGAATATGACTATATTTTTCATTTGTAAAAAATTTAAATAAAATCCAAAATTAAAAGTCATAGCATTGTGTTTTATGCATACCATCACATACTCATATCTAACCCGAACAAAATAAAATACGGAGTAATTATAAATTAAATAGCACAGAAAAACAAAACTGATTTGTAGCAATTTTTTAATGAATGTAAAGTGTTAGAAAATACAGGAAGATACCCAAACTTGAAGAGACGGATGATAATAAGCGCATCAAGGCCAGAATTACGAAGAATATCATCCTCGGAAACACGAAAAGCCCGAGGAATCACGAAACGGAAGGGAGAAGACGGCGAAAAGAGAAGCGGTCGAACGACAGGGGTTGGCGCTGCTGCTGTTGTTGATCAGAGAGACGACGAGCGAAGTAAATGTAGTAAATGAAGGAATTCGAAGGTTGCTTCTTGAGGATGGAGAAGATGCAGAGGATCGCCATTGCTAACCCTATGTTGGTTATTCTAATCTTCTGATTTTTTATTTTTTTTAAAAATTTGGATTTTTTTCTTTTTGACCCTTTAATTTTTCTTTGATATTAATGGGCTGTCAATAAAAGCCCATTATTGACCCTATGTCTTTGATATTAATGAGCTGTCAATAAAAGCCCATTATTTTCTTCAAAAAAAATAAATAAAAATAAAATAAAAGCCCATTATTGACCCTATCTACTAAAATATTAAAGGGTCAAGATCCTTTAAATTTTGGCCCGACCCTATTATAAATAAGCAACCTAGTCCATTAACCACCCATACTTACAACTTCAAATGCACGGTTAATTATGTTGTGTGATGTGAGTGTTTACAAATTCTTAAATGGATATGGTTCATACTAATTTATTGTAAATTATTAACATTAGATAAACTATGATTGTTTTATCAATAAAAAAAAAAGTCACTGTATTAAAATAAAAGAATTTTATGATGAAATTAAAGTTATTTTGGTATAAAATCTATAAGAGGTTAGTTTTTTTTTTTTAATGAAATTTTTTATATACCGAACAATATGAATGATAAAGGTCATTATTTTAAAATTTAGGTCAACATATTCAACATAACTTTGTAATTCAGGTTACCAAGAATATTAAAAGTCACACAAGTTTTAATAAAGACAACTATTGTAAAAATAAGGTTACTACATTAAAATTAGGGTCACTATGTTCAATATAACGTTAGTAGTGTGCTATAAGCGGCCTCAGGTCCACAATAATATTAAAAGTAACACATGTTTTAATAAAGACAACTATAATAAAAATAAGGTTACTACGTTAAAATAAGGGTCACTATGTTCAATATAACGTTAGTAGCGTGCTATAAGCGGCCTCATGTCCACAATAATATTATTGTGGACTAAGTCTACGCAAGTTTTTTCCGTGAGTGTTACATTCAATTAACCTGTAATGATTTATTATTAATCTTTCTCGTCTGATTTGGAGTATGGTCTGGTTTGATATGATTAATATTTTACCGTACTTTTATGTAAATGTATAAAAAAAACATTATTAAATGAGAATTATTAAATTTAATATTATTTCACGTGTGTAATTTATAAAACGAAGTATAATTTTATGCTCGTATTTTATAGCAATAAACAATTAAAGATATTTAGAATGGATATTGAAGTTATAATATGATCAAAATAAATATGATACGAATAAGTACTTCATTATGCTCTACTCTTCGTTCCTAAACAATTGATTGAGTCAATCTTGTCACAAATGTCAATGCACTTGTTTGATCTTAAATATTAGTAAGAAAAATATTACCTCTATTTCGTATTATTTGCAACAATTCGACAATTTCTACTCACACTTTATGTCAAATCGTTGCAAATAATATGAAACGGAGGTAGTATTAAAAGTTGATATTATGAAACTTTATATTAATACATGTTTAATAATATATTTAATGATAAAATACGTTACTAAAATATGACGGTCAAAGTTAATGTGTGAATAGTGAAAAAAATTAAACGTGTTAATTATTTAGAAATAAATAGAGTAAGTTTTTATGATATAAGTTGACTTCTAAATTTCTAATCTTTAGCTTCGTGAAAAATTAACGATGCGTGACTACACATTAAGAAGCCTAATTTGACAAGTTGTATTAAACTTTTTCCTAGTTGTCTATTTTAGACGATTTCATACTTGTGTTTCTACCCCATAATGACCGAATCAACCTAATTTCTACGGCCTAAACATGAACAAGTCACAATAACACATCGCCAAATAGTTGTTCTAACCTTATTTCCTTATTATTCCACGTCTCTCTCTTAACTTCACTCTTTCCTTATAGTACTATTTCTTCCTATTGTTTGCATGAAGCTCACAAGTCACAACATTCACAAGAAGAATGTTTCAATAACATAAATAAGTTCTTGAATTGGTAATTATTTGAGGTGAAAATAAGTTAATACAATATATATTATTTGCGAATCGAACTTATTAATGAGTAGTAAATGAGCTTGAACCTGAATACATGGATATTCATTTATTAATACTACGTATGTATCTATGAACAACTCATCTATTTAAATATATTCATGAATATCTTGTCTTTGTGTTCATTCACTAACAATTGCTTTTATTAATAACTTGCCTAGAACTTGTATTAAATGTTTGAATTTGTCAACAAATTGCTAGGATAGAAAATATAAAATTAATTTTATTATCTTAAGTATATTCTTGGAGAATAAGTAATAATGTAATCATGCAAAACTAGAAAATACAAAGCTTGTTCATTTAATACTCAAAATACAAACCAAGTTCAAACATGATAAATACTATACAAACTATTGGGTGCGGACTAGTTCGTGCGGCAACTCACATCCTTCCAAGTTCCACCAACTGCAAAATCCAATTCAATCGAATTCAACTTCATTCAATCAAATTCAACTCAATCAATTCAAATTCCACATTACTCAAAACCAAACCAATTTAAAAAAAAATAAAAAATAGAGAGAATTAATACTTGTTAGAGACGAGGACGACGACAGAGTAGATGAAGAATAAATTCTCCGACGACGGCGAGCGTCCTCTGATTCAAGATCGCAGGGGAGGTGCGATTCGCTGGTGTAGGTGGCTGCGAAACATATAAGCCAAATGATGTTTGATATCAGCCAACAAAAGGAACCTATCAAAAATTACAAAAAAATATATCAGCCAACAAAAAGAATATATTAGCCGTTACAAAAACTATATCAGCTAACACATGAAACATATCAGCCAAAAAGTAAAATATATCAGCCAAGCTATCCGCACCAAATTTACATCCAATACCTTCTCTAAAAACTAAGTTGAGTTTGAACAATATTTTGAGCTCATGTAAATGAATTATTCAAATTCAACTAATAAATAACTAATTTTGCATATAAATAAGAAATAATGTTCAAATCAACATGACTCACTCTTATCTCTAATAATGTGTTTTAAGATTAATTAGTATAGATAATCGTATATTTAAAGGTATATTACTTCGTAAGCTGAAATAAAGGGATCATGATGTGGTTAACTTAGCAATCTAGCAAATAGTGTACCTATCAGAATATGTATGCTTACGGATAACAAATTCTTTTAATGCATATCTTGAAAATACTTAATTAAGCAAAACGGTCATCATAACATATTATATACTTTGTTTTGCGTCATTTCTAATGTAAACAGAATTCATGACTATTGTGTCAATCAATATCTCTTAATATATACATTGTTGTAATAATTATGATATAATATGACATCAATTACAAAGCTTACCCAAAATAGAAACGTATCAACTAAAAATAAATTTCTCAAAAAAGAATACGTGTCAACTAAAAAAAAACGGAGGTAGTATATAATTATAAAATGAACTGTTTATTAGGTATATGCCGACTGTATTAACATTGAAAACTGACAAATCATCGATATTTTAAATGACACTAGAGATATAAATTAGTAGAGTATATGTTTGTAAACGGATAGAATGATCAAGTGAATGTACATCATGATAAATAATTTGAATCGTGGTGTATGATATATTGTGTATGCAAGTTGAAACTTCATGGATCTATAGGCATTATTATCAATACGCGAACTATATTAATTGGATTTTGCCCTTGTGGCTTTGAATTGTCCAACATTTGGTTGCATGAGGCAGGTCCTTTCCTCGATCTGTGATAGAGGCAGATGTATCTTACGGAGTATTTGCAGACGAGTTACATTACAATGAGGAATATCGAGTTGCATTTGTGTACATATCGAACTGTATATACTATCATTAATAGCTAACTCAAAAAATTGCATATCTTTGTATAATTTATTTTCATCCATAAACTTAATCCGGGCAATAACATACACAAAGCAAAAACTAACTGTTAATTTTTTATTTATTTTTTTAAAAAAATCCTTTTATCTCTTCTTACATAAATCTTAACAATAATAATTAAATCTAGCTACTACACCCAAAGCAAAATTCCTATTTTACTTTTCAATGCACACACAACATGCACTTAAACACTTTTCTTATCCCATTGCCAATCTAGTCCAAAACCTTTGAATTGAAAAAAGAACCAAAAATAATCAACAACATATATTAAAAATATATCCAAATTTCCAAAATCATTAACCATACAAGTAAATAATTGACAATAATAAAATAAACACAAATTATCCACAAAATTTTATTTCATCGCTATCCTTTGTAAAACTTGTATCACATTATAACTGTACATATTCATCAAAGCATAATAAACTTCTTCAATTCTTTTGTAATTTGGATTGCTGTATGTATATTTTTCTCCCCTCCATTTTTCCTTTTCTTTTATACACAAAAAAGTTAAAAAAAATAAATTAAAATCACTAATCATGTCTAAATAACACAATTAATAAAACTAATCTAGCTTTAATTAATCAATTAATCAATCAATCAATTAATAAACAACCATGCTGCTAGAACTTTGAAGTTGATGCGGCTGAAAAATCTTACGATCATTAACATGTGCATTAACACGCTTTTCTTCATTTCTTCCTAATCGAAGCAAATTGGCCCATAATTTCTTTACATTCTTCTTCATATTCTTCTTTTTATCATCATAATTATTACTATCATCCGATCTTAACCTCTCTTTTTCAACATGAGCCATAGATTTACTCTTACTAAAAACCGAACCACCTTTGCTATTAGTGTTATACCCAATAACATTATTAGCTCGTACATCGGACACGATCCTCCGATGGCGAGCACCACTAATTACAACGTGGTGTACGGGGGAGGCAGCGGTAGAAGAATCATAGCTAGATGAAAGTGAGGAGGATGAGGAGGATTCATAGTAAACACGAGCACGAGCTCGAATGATAGCGGAACGAGAGGCGGTACCGGAGTTTGAGACCTTAGATAGCTTGTCGGAGAGACAAAGGGAGCACACGCCAGGGGATTGGCGGTGTTTAGGGTGCTTCTTGCACTGCTGTCTTCCCATCATACTTGTGTGTAATAGTTTAATTTGTATGTTTGGTTTTAGTGACGAATTTGAATTTACTATTTATAGTAATTTTCCTTCTTGTTTGATCAAGTTAGAGGATTTGGAGGGTGAAGGTTATATGTATATATATAGGGAGGTGTATTGTGTTTGTGTTTGTGTTGGTGTTGGTGGGAGTTTGTTTCTAAGAGAGTTCAAGTGAGGTTCTAAGTAGTTTCATAAAATAAACAAGGAAATGAAGGAATCACATATTTTAATTAATGACACTTTTTACTTGGTTGGTTGGTTAAGTTCCTTCTTTCCTAGTTGTAGACTCGTGGATAGTGAGTGTGTTAGAAAGGTAGGGTAAGTGGGTCAGTATGTACGTACTTAGTTATACTTTTCCATTAATCAAAAGTGTGATTTAATTTAAAGTACACTAGTAATTACGTTGTTTTTTCCGAAATATTATACGGAGTATATTTAACTGGTTTTGTACTATTCACATATATACATTGATCACTTAATTTGATTTACAATATAAGGAAGATTGCATCAATGTCAATGTTTTTTGGATTCGCCTTATTTGTTTAATTATTTCTTTAGTTTTAGTATTTTTAACTTAATAAAAGTTGTCAATTATAGATATAATATTAATGAGCAGAATTATGTATTCAAAGTGAAAAATTAAAACATTGCAAGTACTAAAATAAGAAAGTGCTCCGTATAAATGTATAATATAATGTATTAAAAGAAAAGTTAAAAATATGTCTACTCCATGGGTTTAAAATTTTCCGGACTATCTCATTCAATTGTAAATTTCGAGATTATTTTAATTTATTCTTCTTATTTTATTTTTAATAAAATCAAACAAGTTATAATAAATGATTTGTCATAACTTTTAGTTTGCTGTCATTCTAATATTACTATATTTTTCTTTTTCAAAAAAGGTAAAATAAATAAACATCAAAAATCCCTCTTGACGAGGGGAATGAGTTCCTTGAGGTAAGTTGCTTGAAATAACCTCTTGAATTTGATGTAGCATGGATCCCATAATCCTTTCTTAGCAAGCTAGACTCCGTATCTAAAAGCAGTGGCGTCACCAGGATTTTCGAAGTGTGGGTTCGAAACTTCCGAAATTTGAAATCATAATTAACAAAGGAATAAAAATACAATAATTAAATATTCAGTACATAAATAATTTCAAACTATGGATTACAAATAGATTACACATAGAAAAATGAAAAAAAAAAAAAAAAAAAAGACTACAGAAGCATTCTTCGAGTCTTCATACTTTGGAAGCGTTCCAATACATCATCATCACTAACTCTTGAAAATAAATCTCTTTCAAGAAAAGTGACTAAATTATCATTCAATAGTTGATCACCCATACTATTTCGCAACTTATTTTTTACGTATGTCATTGAGGAAAACACTCGTTCCACGCTTGCAGTTGCAACCGGAAGGATCAATGCTAGTCTTATAAGCAAGTAAACTAAGTTGTAAGTAGTATGCTTATTTGTTTCAACAAGCATCATAGAAAGCTCATGAATACCCTTCAAGTCTCCAAACCTTGCATCTTGGCGCACATCATTAATATAAAATTGAAGCTCATGACGAAGTGCAGTCATCGTCATATCATTAGTTGGAAACTCTTTGGGATATAACTCAGCAAGTCTCAACAACTTTTGCATATCAAATGCCGCAAATGAATTGATCGGGTTTAAGCATGACACACAAATAAGTAACTCCATATTTTCTTCATCAAATCTACTATTGAGCTCTTGGAGTTGTAAATCAATAACACTTATAAACATTTCTACCCGAAATCGATGAAGATTTGAAACTTTGGCAAAGAAGCGTCTTGACCTTCCACGAGGAACATACATATCATCCATAGTAGGAACTTCTACATCATGTTTAACACAAAAACAAACCACAAGATGTAAAAAGTCTTCCCACCCATGGTCCCTCATTTGTTGTAATCCCTCCTTAGTCAATTTAACATATGTCATGGCATTAACAATATCTTGGTCCCCCTTTTGCAGAGCTTGACACAATTTATCAGTAATCCCAAATATTTCGGACATCAAATGTATCATAAATACAAATTCAAATGATTCAAATGTAGACATGACAGTGATAGCCTTCACGCGATCATCCTTATAAATCTTATTTGATCCAATCTTCTCAAGAACTTTAACAATAGTAGCATACAATGCGGTAACATTTGAAACAGTTTTGTAATGTGATCCCCACCTAGTATCACCAGGCCTACCTAAGCCATGTTCTTGGTTTAAACCTTGCCCACTTTCAATTTCTCCTAGTTCTAATGCTTGTAAGGCAGAGTCCAATTTTATCACCCAACTAAAAATGTTAAATTACCTAATTAGATTTTCAACTGAATATATAATTGTAATAAGCTTAAACTCACAAAAACTAATTAACATAATCCATAATAAGAACACTTGAATGCTTATAAGTCCTTAGTTATTCTCTGATCCTTTTCCGCGAATATTTTTGAACCATTCTCTAACTTGAAACATGCCATTGCCACTGCCTTCACGGAAAGAAGCTAGTTTTGCAAATCCAGCAACAACTAAACCTCCAGCAGCAACTTTGCAGTAGCTAAACAACCGGCTTTTACAAAAAAATCAGAAAATAGCATATGAAAATCAGAAAATAGCATACGAAATACAAAAAAATCCCCAAATTGAGAACTTGAGAAGTAAATTAGATAATTATAACCAATTAACCAAACTTCAGCAATTTACAAAAAATTGGCAATTCGTAAATCGTAATGTATATTAGCAATTGAATTTAGCATATGAATTTCAATTTTCAAGTATTCAATGATTTAGCAAAAAAAATCCCCAAATTGAGAAGTAAATTACATTTGCAAAAAAAAAAAATCCCCAAATTCACTTACCCCTACATACACCGATACACCATACACGGCTGTGAGGCTGGGACGCTGGGTCTGGGTGAGTGGCTGGTGCGCTGCCGGCCTGCCGCTGCCGCCGTGTTCTGCTGACTCTGCTAGTCTGCTGCCGTGCTGCGCCGGGAAGAGAAGGAGGAAGAACGGGAAGAGAAGGACTGAAGGAGGAAGAACGGGAAGAGATTAAGAGAAGGAGGATTGGAGGAAGAAGTTAGGGTTTTGCAATTTGGGGGAATGACTGAATGAGGAAGAGGAAAGCGAACTCTGGAAGCACGAAGCAGGAAAGCTCAGTGCTCAGGAAACAAAATTAAAAAAAAAAAAATGTGAGTTATGGGTTTTGAACCCACAACCTCTTGTGTGATGGGAGGTAAAAATAACCACTGGGCTACAACTTTACTTGTTGCCATATAATACACAAATATTCTATTTAAACCTATTTTGATTTTTTTTTTTTTAAAAAAAAAAAATTTAAATTTTTTTCAAAAAATCAGTGGGTTCAATGAACCCACTTGAACCCACCCTAGTTCCGCCCCTGTCTAAAAGTATGAGTATAAGAAAAATCCTGAACTCAAAGTGTCATACAGGGTTGTTACTTGTTAGTTGTTACAAAATAGTGGAGATTTGCTTTCGTAACCTTAGATAGATTTAGGCTTTGTTTCTTCCTCTAGAATAAGGCGTGATCCGAATTTTCTAAAGTCTTAGCTTGTATGATCCGACTATTTCAAATTTGGTCTGATCTAATCTTATTGTCTGATTTAACTAGATTTTGACTTTAGTTGCACATTAGTGTATAAGGAAAAACATTAAGCAAACATTAAACACAAATTAAATAAGGTAAAGAGAATAAAACATTAAACACAAATCTATATCCAAACTCCAAAGAAGAAGCCAAATTGATACAACATACAAGTAGTACGTAGCTAATATCATTAAATAATCCTTAACAAAACCTAAAAAATGTGCAAAGATAAGCAAAAGTAAGACCATCTTCATTGGTGAGACTCAACTTTGAGTATTGAAAAACAAAATGAGTTGTTTTTTACCTCTAATGGTGATACCCAATCCACTTCTCAATTTAGCAACTCATGTAAAGTCTAATTTCCTAATGATGAAACTCTTTAAAGTATACTTATGTCACTTTTAATTTATGGCCCACCAAATCCATATTATAAGTTTTCCAAAAAGATAAATAAATTATAAATATATTATAATATTGATAAGGGCTCACTTTTTTTGTCAAATGATTGATTATCTAAACTTATTATGTTAAAGTTGCTAAATTTAGATACCAACTTATTGATATTGTTCGTAAAAAATAGTCTCTCTTCTAAAAAAAAAACTCATTCAAATTTTACCATTAGAGATGGTGTAAAAACCCTGAAAATTTCCTAAAATAGTTGATGTGTGTGTAAGAAATTGCGAAAGGGTCGCCTGTTTTGACTTTGAGTGGGGTAGAGTGGACAGATGTCAGAAATCGTATGGAGGTGGAAGGAGTATGGTTTGACAGATTAATCGCGTGGAAAGCGTTGCGGCTTGACTAATCAATGAGGACTATATTAGGAGCACGAGACGGGCAAAGATGATACGTGCCGTGCATGTGGATGTACGTTTACTAAGTCAACTACGAGTACAATTATAAATACATAATACAGCCGTAGATTGTAATTTGTAAAGTGTATGATTATACACGTACATCAAACTTACAAGTTGTCACGTCTCTAATTACTGTTGCCCCATGAAAATTTCTTACAAAAACTTACTCCAGTAATTTGTGTCAAGAATATTGTTAGAGCTAATAAATAAGCTAGAGTTTGCGTGATTGTAAATGGACTAGACGTATGATTAATAATTTTTAATGAATGAGTTCGAGTATTTGCTTTTTGGTTGGTAAGGAGAAATCCTATTAGGTTAGAATTTTGCGTGAATTAACTTTGCACAATTAGCGGAGAAGGGAAGGATAATGGAATATTCCATCCTAATGAGCCTTCTAATAGGATTTGATTGTACAGTTTTATGGTGTAAAATTGTAAAAGCAAAACTCCTCAATAGGCCAAATCTTACTTGTTGAATATGAACATTTCATAACTAGACTTGGGCAAGATAGAGAAATATACTTTGTTTGATATTTTAATTAATTTACACATAAGAGTTGAGTTGGGTCTTTTATATGAAATTGGGTATGTTTTATGATAGGCTAACAGATTGTCATTAAAAGTGTTGTATTAGAGACAAGATTTGAGTATGTCATTAACTGACTATCATCAAATATTTAGATTTTTGTAATGGCATTACCCCTTCCTTTTATGCGATCAAAGACATACTCCATAGTGACATGTATATTTCAGTTACATAATCAAGTACAGTATCATGAATATAGACTTAAAAAGAAGATTTAATAAATAGAAAAGTGCTTGATTATAAAAGATTAAGAGTAAGGTGTACCATGCCATGGAGAATATTGCTTTTGATTCTTTCATACAACTGGTACAAGTACAAATTATGATATAATTTGAAAAATGTTAACACGTAGAGTCCTTGTCAAAAACAAAAACAAAAAAAAAAAAATGTATAGTCTACAATGTAGACAAAAAAAAGGACTTCAAAAATGCATTTGCAGGCATAAATGAAGGGATTAATAACCATTTTTAATTAAATCATATTCTTTTTTTAAAAAAAAAAAAAAAAATCTATTTTGTTCCACTAAAATAAAATTATCAACAACTTGTATGCCAAAGCCAACTCAAAAGCAAGCTTTAATTCACACACACCATCCTCAAATCTGCCATCTATTCAGACAATGTCCCGACAGGAGAACCACTTTCTTAGAAGCTGCTAACTACTAGCAATTTACTTCATAAACATATATTTTAATAATGTATTAGCATAAAATTACAAAAAAATGACTACTCTTAAGTATTAAAATACAACCAAATATGTATGTATTTTAGTTACAGTACATCAGTATCTTAATTATAATAATGATTTATATTACAATAATTGAGAATAGTTGATGAGATTTTGAGTATCTTTGAAACATGCCAAAGCTTAGCTGTGGGAGTGCAGCTAGCTAAGCTTGCAGGCATAGGGATTAGGGGCATTGTACTTTCCCGTAGGCCGTAGCTTATGGTGTACCATCATCGACAACTGTCCCACCACCCTCTAACAGTTTCATAGATATTATAGGAATCATTTTATTCAATTGTTTGCATCTCTAAAGAATATTATTTTGATGACCAATAATAGTTTATTGAGTTAGGTGTATAGGTGGTAATCATGATGTTCGGATTGAATATAGTTTGAGTTAGTGGTCATTGCAAGTGATTAGTCAATAAGTTCAATTCAATTCAGTTAAAACTAAATTACAAGCGGTATTCGTGATTTTATGTTTACCTATGTCAACACTAGTTTATGTTAAGTTTTGAGTCCATTTAGTTTGGATGGAGTCAATTTTAATTCATGTTAATATGGTAGTCTAGTCTAGTTTTCAATATAGTTATGATGTAGGCTGGATAGAGTGAATTACGAGTACTGAATTTCATTACAGGTCAGTTTTGCCAAAGTTTAGTTTGGTCTAGGAGGGGGGCATAAGATGAACTGATGAAGTTCACTCAAATTTCTGTATCTACTCAAAAAACTGTGCACCAGTTTCATCTGCTGCATATCTCTATAAATGAGGGTGCAACTTGTGAGGAAAAACAAATGACACACTTATTAAGTTATTATCAATGTAGATCTGTTACAGTCTTACAGACCTTACAAATTTACAATAGTATACTAGCGTCTACTCTGAATCATGGATCTCAGCTTGATTGCCATTGAGAGAGTAAGTATTTTAGATATACATTTTCTCTGTGAGAACATCTTCTATTATTTACAAAGATTAGTCCTCAGTTGAAGGCTTGAAGCTGACATCCCCCCCTTCCTCTCTCTATATATATCTTCTTTTCATTCGTAAGGATGACTTAGGTTGGGTCGTCAGTGTAACCCGACCCAACTCATCCTTACATGTGAAAAAAGAAATATGAGTGCTCGTTACTAAAATCAAACAAATAGCTGAAATAAGGGGATAGGCAACAAGCCCCCCACCCCCTCTTTATTAAAGACTTGATTATGGACTTTGAATCATATTTATGTCATCATCCACGCCCCAAATATAACACTTGATAATATTGCTTTTACACCATATGAAAAAGCATAGCAAACTTAGACAAAGTTTTAAATTTCTCTGTAAACAGGGCATCAAGAAGTATTTGAATCATACATCAGTAAACACAAAAAATAAAAAATAAAAAAAATCAACGAGCACCATTCTTCCAAGTCTCATTTAAATAATCCACAGCCAAGAGAAAGTTTAATAATTCGAATTGCCGTCAGTTTTTAACAGCATTATATTACATCAATTAATTTAATTTAAATGTTAAAATGATCCAAGAACAAGATTTTGCCTCGTGTGGTGTAAGTACAGAATTAAGAGAAATTTTAAGAACGCTATATCTTATAGTAAAGAATTTCCACATAAATCCATCTGTTAGTTCTTTTTTTCATTTCAACATCCTCTTCTGTGGCTTCACTACCAAAAGTTTACAAAGATTGCATATTTTGGAAAAAGGATGGTGAAGTGAAAATGGTGCAACCGCACTAAACTAGGGGTTTTGTGTGGCAATAATATGTGTTGTCTAGCTAATTCCTAAGTATGATACTTGTTAAAAAATTGGCACATAAATCCAATAAGATTGCAAGCTGCAGTGCATCACCTGTCGCCCTGTCGAGCATATGATTATATATTAAGAACCTGCTTGGAAAGTGACAACGATCATCCACAGCATGAAAAAACATTCAGCAACCTCCATGGTATTGCAAACCCACTCAGGTACACCAAGAGCATAGAGATATCAATTTTTCCATATTCCAATGTCATTTGAATTTTACTCTAAACAAAAAGAAAGAAATATATTTCAGTTCACTTGCCATTTTCTATAAATAATTGCACACAAACCTGCAGAAAATCCTAATAAAGATGAGATATCTTAAAACAGCAGTATGATGCGTTCATCAAGAACAACTAAGTGACAAACTCGTTGGGGGAGTAAACAGGCTAGCAAAAAAAATAAATTGTGTTACATACTCTGGGATGCGCTGTTCAACCATAGATGTATGAACACCTATACTCAGCTGGAAAAATTCCACAACAAAAACTTTATGAGTAGAAATTGTACATTAATCTAGAAAAACTACCAAGACATGTTCCTTCATCATGTAAGTTGTGAGCCTACTGTGTCTTTTGTAACATGACAATGAATATAAGCTCTTGTGTATGTCTGGACGGCCTACAGTATAAGGACATCCCCCAGGTTTAGTAGCTACAAATATTTTTTTTTTTTTTTCTTTTAATAAAATTACTCTCTTGGTCATTTGATGAATTTAAACTTTCCCATGTTACTCTTGTACTCTTATTGATACCCTAGACAAAGAGCTAAACTGGTATGGTAAATATGTCAAATTTAAAAATGAAGGATTGTTAAGGTGCTTTAGCTCATCAAATATTCAAATCCCTAGCCCCTAGAAATGACGTCTGATCAAATGTGACCTATAATTCAAGGGCAGAGTAGCTAGGAAGTTGGTTATTTAGTGGCATTACCATGCAAGCACAGGAAGGATCAATAGGACGAGTATCATCAGCCTTGGCCTTAGTGATTTAGTTTTTGTATGCCCTGCAAGGGAATTTTCAGTTGGAAACAGTTGAGAGAAGAATAAGGCATATTCTTTAACGTATCAAGGAATAGAAATTTTGTGTCAGCACGCAGCCACAAGCACATACCTGCCCAATAGAATTTTACAAAATAAGTTTGCCGAGGCCGTACCAAAACGAGCAGTGCAGGTGGAGTAAACACAATCATACATATCAACACCCAAAGCACTACAAATAATGATGTCCAATGGATAACCACAACCCTGAAATGAGCAAAAAAAGACTCTGTGATAAAAACTACTTCGTATTAGGATGAGAGGCTTCTTAATACCATCACATATCGTGATTAATCTTCTGGCAATGCAGCAGTGCACCAAAATGAATCCTTGCTCAATATCACTCTGCTTATGATTAATTAGCTTCACTACATGCTAACAATGACTTTCAAGTGTCTTTTTGTTGCTTATACCCATCTCTCTCACCTGTACGTATGCTGCCAGAAGAGACACAAAAGCCCCTGCAACCTCTGCAGGGTGCCTCATAACACTTCCACGACTGCGTTTCTCCTGTTCCAATTTCCCTACGCCAAAACTGCAGCAGCATCCCTATCATCTTTATTTAGCTTAAATAGCCACCAATCAACCCAATCAATCAAGCTTATGACGTTCGGACAATCCCCCAAGCCCTGAGCAATCCAACATGCATTCTGCATAGCAGCACTTCCATATCAAATGAAGCTCCATCTCCTCATATCTATAGCAGTGTTGAGCTATTGACACAGTGGCGAGATGCTCTTAATATGTTTTTGCAGCCCCTTATTTGTAGGTAAGGCACCAGTACAGTATCTCCATATAAAAACACAAACCTTGGGAGGAACATCAAGCTTCCATATATTCTTTCAAATTCTCCGATCCAACAATGACCCAAGTCAGCCAACCATACCATCAACTGAATTCCTGTACAAAGATATAAGTGTTACCCTGACTTTACTGTAAAATTTCCAGATTTGTCGTATCGCCATACATTCATATCAACTAGTTATTGCGATGCTAACAGAATACCCAAATATTCATCAGACTCAAATGACTGAAAACTTCCTCGTACCTCCCTTTCATACCACCTTGGCTCCTTGAAATTAAACAGTTAAAATATGGAAAGACAGGAAAGTATAGCATACTATTCTTGCTTATTCTGAAAATAAATCATGTAGCATGAAGCGTGAAGCATCCTTTGGGACTTCAAAGGACTTCTTAAATGAAATGTATCGCCTAATGCATTTCACATTGCACATTACAAATTCCACGTCCTATCTAGCCATCATCGTCTTTTGGGCAAAACAAAAGTGAATGTGTTACATACTTACATATGTCGCCATCTTGAACATATATTATGGCTTGAAGATTCAAAATCTATATACAACATTGCCGCAAATCCATGCTACCAAGTGTGTTTTTTATGAGTTCGAAGATGTAGGTTTAAAAAGTGTTATTAAAATCCCGTCATTCGATCTAAAATATATAACAGAATCCCCCGAACAATAATAGTCAGAGTTAGAACATCTGAACATGTTTGGTAAGGGTATTTTTTTTTTGGTTGAAAACAAATTCAATCAAACCATATCGTTACCAAGTGTTTGGTTACAAAATCTGGGTAATGATTACCATTACATAGGGGTAATGGTTTCCACCTATTTGTTACCTCTATCCTATCAGATCATCACACCATCACTACATAAAACCCTTTACAATCACACCGTCACTATCTCCTCCTCCCCTATATTCACTTTCATTTTGATTTGTTTGACTTTTATTACCCTACTAATACATTACTCTCAATCAAAGCATGCCATAAAATTCTAAAACCTAAGGTAACAGTTCTTTTACCCTTCTAAAACAAAAGGAAAGGGAGCTAACTTTAAGTGATTTCTTTCTATGGTTAAACCAAACAAATGAAAATGTAAGAGTTTAATGATTTCTTTTCCCCCTTTTTATTTGCTTCCTTTCCATTCCGTTTCCAATGTTACCAATTGCCGCTTAATATATTCGATATCTATTTTGCTCTTTCATAGTTTCTTCCTGCAACCTACATCTTTATTGCGTCATTGAGTGATGATAATGATAATTCATTAACAGGTGACAATGCTTTATTAATAAAGGCAGAAACTTTTGTTATGCAATCTAATGGTGCTAATGATGTCATTAGTGCTTGTACTTATTTGACACTCTAAATATTGCTGCAAAATTAATTGAAATAAAATGAATACAAACATGTAAAACAAATAAACTCACCAATAACCCATATTTATCTGGGTAAATAACAATCTTTTCTCCTTTCCTTTGAAAATTGAATTTATCTATCTGGTTTCTCCATTTCCTTTCTTCAATTACTGCAAAATATGTATGAAAATAAGATAAAAACAAAATTTCCAGTAGAAGATTCAAGTTTATATAAAAAATGACAAAAATTGCGATAGATGAAATTCGAGTATTACTTACCTTATTAACAATGGACTCCTTTTCGGAGGATTAGCTTTGTACTCAATGAGTCAATGTTTAAGAGAAGAGAGGAGGATAATAAACGAATATTGTGGGAAATTTTTTATTTGAGAGTGACTCTGCAATTTAATTCTTGACGTTGAAATGCATATGGAGAAGAATAGAAGATGATTTTTTTAAAAAAAAAATTGGAGCATTGAAGAGTTTTTTCTTTTTTAAAAAAAAAAAATTAAATTTTTTTACGAATTAGATGGGAATTTATTTGCGATTGATAAAGGAAACATGTATTTGGCACTTCGTAAAACTAAATTAAATAATGAAATTGATTGACATTGATATAAAGGTTCCGTATGTATGGATGTCAACTAGCTTAATTGGTTAAAGTTTGTGAAGTCAAATGAAATTTTGATGATTGTCTCAGACTATAATTGCAATAGACAAGTAAGCGTGGGTAGTTAGATAAACTAGGCTGTTAGTAAGATCAAAATCGTAAATTGAACTATTTAGCTTGTTTTAGAAGATTTAGGATGAGGACGCACGTAATTGATGTTTGATTCCTTTTTCGAGCTCATTCTCAATTCACTTTGCATTCCTCTTCCGGATGGTGCTTAAGTTTTCCTCCATTTGCCAATTGCTTAGCTTACTTGAGACTTAATCGTTTCCTTCATCTCGCAACTAAGTCTAAAACGTTCTCGAAATTTCGTGTATGTTCACAATAACCAATATTTTTTTTTCTCTTTTTAGAATATATTATTTTTAGCTTATATATGTTGAACATAACCTTTTTCTTTTTTAATCTTTTTGAAATTTAATTGATTTTTGTTGGAAAAAAAACAAAAACTTATCTTAGATCTATTTGTCAAACTTTTCCTTAACTTATTTTTGCTAAATTTTACCGTATTTAATACATTGAGGAGAACATACCTTTAGTAATTAACAATTCACTATATGTTTTATGATATGAGTTCCAAGATGATCAATCAAGAACAAGAACCCCAATTCACCACAATTGATCAAGCAAATGATTCATCAAGCGAATCAACCTATATGGACAACAGGAACAAGCAACGATATGGAATAGAATATATGGACTTGTTCTCTTCACATGAAACAAGGAGATCTGATCTGATTTTATTAAGGTCTAATCTGAATTTTTATTATCTAGTCTGATCTAATTCAATAATTTGGTTAAACTTTGACCACATTTTATTACTAATCTATAAAGAAAAACATTATCAAAATGGATCTTGTTAGATTCATCCCATTATGAACTTTTCAAATATGTAATTTTCATAATTTTTTATAATATACAATTAACGATATCTAACAATAAGTAAATGATAATTAAAAGATTTGATCTTAACTGATCTGAATGTTTTTGATCTGGTCTGAATTTATTAAGAAATAAGTAATGAGTATGTGAAACAAGTTGAAGATAACAAATCCTATAAAATCACAAAGACATGATATATACATGGAAAACATTCGGTGTGTAAAGTAAAAGTAAATAGATCTATATAGAGTTCACCCTTCCTACTTCTCTTATTATGATAAAATAAGGTTTCCCAACTCACTAACAAGTGCATAAAAAATAGATTAATATTTAATAACTAGAAGAGCAAAGTGAAGAAAATCTGTTTAGGGTTTCGGTCCAAGAACAATTCCGGTCTTCCAAACAAACCAGTGCATCAAACGATGGTTCAATCATTCAAAAATAGGCCTTATGTATCCCTAATAAGCCAACTAAATTTCAGAACGATCTAGCGATGTAAATTCTAGCATCAGACTCATTATGACAATCGACTATTTTACAAATCCTTAAAAATAGACAAATCAACGAAATCAAAACCTTCTAAAACAATACTCCATCCAAAACATAACCATATCCTTTTTGATTTTCCATGATTATTACCATAACAAATTAACAATCACGATCTTCATAAAGGCAACACTGTCGGCTGTTGATTAATATCGCGGGACCTAAAAACACTTTCTGGCACGGACCATTTTCAAAACAACGTGGAACCTCATGGTCATACCAAGCTTCCTCTATTCAACGTCCCTGAAATCACCTTCTTCTTCTTCTTCTCCCTCTCTCCTCAATTCCTACTCCGCATCTCGCTGAATTCAAACCCTAGAACACCGATTTCGTCGCTTAGATCCATCAACTATTCGATCGTAACCGGTAATGTAAACTCATTTTCATTTTTATTTTTCATTATGATGTTTGATCTGAGTTTTTATGATTTCATTGATTGTAAATTTTGTTGAAGAATTGTGGGTTTTGATGGTTTTCAGGTGATTTGGCTGATTTTTTAGGTTGATTGTTTGGGAAATTGAGAGGAATTTGAAATGTTGCGCGCTCCGGCAACAGTTGAGGAGCAATTGATTTTGAAAGCTATTAGGGAGGAGTGTCCATGGGAGAATTTGCCTAAGAGGTTGCAATCTACTCTTTCTTCTAAAGAGGAATGGCATAGAAGGTTTGTTTCGTTTTTCATTTTCTTTTGATTTCATGATATTTAGTAGTTTTGTTTAGTGGAGTGTAATTTTCAGTGCAAGTTTTAAATTATGTTGTATAAGTTGTAATCTGTGCTGATGCTACATTTGAATGATATAATTGAAAAGTTCATTGTAAAAGTCGAAATTGTTCTGTAATCTGTGCAATGCTGAAGGTATAGCTGTTATTGAGTGGTTACATCTTCTGCATTTACTTGTTGAGATTATGTAATCTAGGTAATGTTACCGTGATTTATCATATACGTGGTACTAGTTCTTTCAGCCGTGGTGTGTACTGATAATGTTGGTTCATAATTTGTATAGCAAGGGTTTTTTGTTATTGGAAAAGGAAGGGGGTGGGTTGCTAAGTTGTGGCATCAGGAATATAACTTTGATTATCTAGGAACGGGAAGTTACATCGGTTTAAGAGTTTAGCTGCTATGTGGTTTCTACTATTTTCAATATTCATGAGTTAATTATTATTAATAGTGGAAAATTAATGGCGGAATTCTGTAAGCGATGCAAATGCAAGTAAGCGTTCGTACTCTTCTATTTGATCTTAATTCTTTCATAGGCTGGAGCACTCATTCATTTGAGTGATTTTAACCCTTACTGTTATATAAGATTATAAGCTGGAGCACTCATTCATCTGAGTGATTTTAACCCTTATCGTTTTACAAAAACTTAGATTTTATAACAAATAACTACAAAACAAAAGTGTAATTTGGTTATTCCTAGTAGGACTAAAACCTAGATATTAATATCCATAAATGCCTTCTCAGTATTTGCATAGCTTTATCAAAGCCTATTGTCTTCTTTTGGTCATCATCTGTGGTGCTACTTGCCGGGACCGCGCTTGGATCGCTTAAAATCAGATCATAACATTTTCATTCATACTCGTGTTGAATCCTGAACTTTTTCAAGCTTGTTTTTAAAGTTCAGCTTGCAATAATACAACTTGAGTTTCAGCCATTCACGATCTTTTGGATTTGGATTTTGTTGTGCTCAACTCATGCAAATTTCGAGTTGAGCTCAAACAGTTCATGAACTAGCTAGGCTCATTAGAAACCTTGGTCATCATGCTGTTTCACGTAACTACTTTTGGGTTATAACTTGTGATTTGAGAAATGCATTGTATCATGATCTTTGGAGTGGTGTAATGACAAGTTGATGGAGGTGTGAGTGTTTTTAGGTTCACGAGGAAGTTATATTTCATCCAAGAGAGTTTAAAGATTTAATTTATGAAGTCTAAAGGATAAAGAAAGGAGATATCCCATAGGGAATTGTGATGGTCATGTACAAAAACCAAATGGAATGTATACTTTTGGGTATGAGTTTGAGAATTTGATGTTCAAAGAGAGAAAAATATGCGTAAAATTTAGTGTAATATTTGCATGCTTTGGGTCCAAGATGAAGTTTTGAAAATCCACACCCATGTTGATGTTGTATTGGGTACTTAAGGTAAAATGACGAGTTTGAGATTTAAAGTTACACGGGATACTTCCTTTTCTCTAGCGCCAAGGTAGAAGAGATGATATCAATGGGACAGTTGCAACAAAATTAATGAAAAGCAGGTCTGTAACTCTGCATAGGTTATGTTTATGTAGCCAGGTGTATAAGAACAATTCTTTGATGGTAAAATGTTTGGCTAATCTCGCAAGATTTGTATTACGTTGGCACTCATTAAAAACTGGTATGCTCTTCGATGGATTCGTAAGTCATCTTTCTAATATTTTCTATTCAAGTTTATCAATAGCATAACTCGTGTTTTTTCCCCTTTAGTATAACATATGATTTGGGATTTGTTCCTTTTTGGGAATAATCTTTTGTTAGGTTGCATCTATATTGTTTAATATAGTTATGCCTATTTCCTCAACGGGTTCATAGAGTAAGAGGATGGTTGGTTGATTCATCATGATCTATTCTTCTTACAGCCATTCACCAACATACCTGATCCAGAACCTTTGTCTATTTCTGACTTTGTTTAAGAGACCAATGTTCCAAAGCGATTCATAGCTTTTTGTAAGGTCAGTTTTGTTGATGGAGGTAAAAACTGAAGAAAGTCTGGTTTCAGAGGTCCAATAAGGCACTATTCTGGATCATGTGTCTTCTAGTGAAGGGATGGATGGTCACTTGTAATTGCATTGTAAGTTGAAATATCTTTATGGTGAAAATGTATGGTTTTTTCTAGCCATGAATTTGGAGGTTTTACAGGGCTTTGGCCTGAGTTTTAGTAGGTGCTTGTCTTATAACGCTGTGGCAGTTTTCCTTTTGTTTTCTGTGGAATTGATTGCAAAGAAACAATGAGATCTTTTGAGATCAGATTTATAATTAGATTACTTTGTCTTAAAGTTTCTTGGCAGTTTCCTCACAATGTGATTGACATTCTTTTTTTTTTTTTTCCCTTAATTTTGTTAGTTCCATGCTTGTCTTTTTCTGTAAATTTATGAAATTTTTTATCTAAAAAAGATTGACAATATAATATATTGTTCATTGAGTTTTAGGGTGTGAAACTGATTCTAGTGCTGACTGAATTTATTCTCAATTCTGCGAGTAGGGTGATTGAACATTGCATAAAAAAGAGGCTGCAATGGAGTACTTGTTTTGCTCGCAAAGTAATCAAAGAAAGCGAATACTACGAGGAGATGATGCGGTATCTTCGGAGAAATCTTGCGGTCAGTTCTGTACCCATGTCTTTCTGTGGTTTTGTTCTGTCTTTTGAGGTGTAGGATTGTTCTTGTGCTTTGCCTTTTGGCAACAATATAATGAGTTATTGAGTTCTGGCTTCTGGAATTACTTTGAAGCTCCATGGTTTAACATCGACATTTG